GCTGAACATTTGCCATTTTCTTTTACATAATAATTGCGCATGAGCCTACACCTATCAAAATTCCTATCCTTGCAGTGTGCAATGGACCTAGTTAAACAGGTCTCTAATCGATCGGAGGTAGAGCGTCCGAAGAACTTGTCGGACGTAGTGTTTTCTTGCTCGGGATCAAAGCGGGCAATCTCGAGCGGGCAAGATTGGCCCAGGAATTCTCAACCCAATATCGGCCATCCGTTAAAGGGAGGCATCAAATACACTTTGTGAAATCTGTCATATATGTTAGCGACGCAAAAATTTATCGGGTGCCGTATAGGACAATATTGTGCGCCCAAAAAATAAATGCAAAAGCTAAGTATATATGGCATGGATCAAATAAATATATGAATAGAATATATGTGCAACATATATATGGCAGGGACCAAGTCAATATATGGTACCAGGAGCCCATCACTGATGGGCTCCTGATGGTACTGAATAAATAAATATATGCAAGAGACTCATAGTCTCTTGATATATGACATGATCACACGCGCTGATTTTTATATAAGTATTCTGTTAAGCAAACTCATTCCGACTGCGAATCTATATATATATTTATTATATGGTTGTGTCTCACAAGGACTGGGAACTACTGAATTCACGAATTTGATTGGCTGAAATCAATATTGAAAGCGGTTTAGATTTTCCCATCTAGACCGGCATCTAGACCGGTCAAGAAAAAAAGGTACAAAGAATATAAAAAATTGGCATATAAGACACAGCCATATAATAAACCATATAATAAACCATATAATATCCCGACGTTTCGGCGACTTCATGACCCCATTATCAAGGGTACAAATGAAAATAAAATTAACAAATGCGAGTTCAAGAGTTACAACTAATTTGCATCTTATTAACCGAGCTAAGTTTTAGTTCATGAGTCATCGCCGCTAACATTGTGCATAGCTCACTAGGCTCTTCTACTTTGAGCACTCTGGAATGGCTTAGACAATACCACAGGTGTGGGATCGTTTGGGGATCCATATCGGTTCTCCCACTTCCCAGCATCAGCACTGCACTGATGAGGCCCAGGATTTACTCCTTCACCTCCACAGTATTCACTCTGCTTTGGGATTCTGCGCAGGATCACTCTTGGGGCACGGACTCTTGTGAGTATTTGTCTTTTGGTCGATTTTAGTCCTCTTTCGCCTTTTTATTCCACGTTTACCCCCATCTACCTTTGATGAACCATGTTCTACCTCGTTTACCGCCATCTACCCTAGGTAACCCATGTTCTACCACGTTCACTCTCATCTACCCTAGGTAACCTATGTTCTACCGAATTAGTGACATTTGTGACAGGCTGTACGCATGAATAAATATTTGATTGATCTACACTTAGCGGGTTTTGGCTGGTTTTCAACTGGCGCGAGGAAGAAAATTTAGTGGTGAACAATAAAGACAATAGATTATTTATCGGTGTGATAGTTGCACCTTGGAAATTTGATGTTCTTTAAAATAGCATATTTGCCCTCGGATAGTGACTTTTGAACGTATTTTTTTGACCTGAATAGAAAGACATTGGTATTGAAGGGTGAAAATGGTCGATTTCGCAATTACTTAAATACGATTTAACAAATAAAAGAAGGCAAAAGTCCTCGGTCAAATACTGATTTGAAATGGTTAAATGTATTTTTGTGACATGAAAGGCGTCACGTTTTCTCCGCAGGGTGAAAATAGTTGATTTAAAAAAATAGTAACCCTTCTTATCTTACTACTTTGCAAAATGAATAAAAATCCTTCTCATTAATTGAAGATTACTCCAAAATCCTCGTGAAAGTTAACTTTAACTTATTAGAAAATACATCTGCATTATTCTTTTAATTTCGTTACATCTTGCCTGGTTTCGCAAAATATTGTACTAGTAAGCCGTCAATTTGTTGTTCAATACACCTGTAAATCCATGTTTTTTTTTTTTTTAATTACAAAAATTTACCAGAACATGCAGTTCCGCCTGAGAAATGATCGATCTAGTTTACAGTTCTGATGGTGACGAAATGTCCTCCGTAGAAAAGAAAAACAGATCTGGCCGGCTTATAATAGTGACCCGTAGTTAATTAGTTTTCTTGTATTAGGTCATACTTTTAGGTGATTGGATTTTTCCCAAGAGATATCACTCCAAACCTTCTTCCATTGACTTCAGTTAGAAACAGTAACTTAAATAATAAAAACTTGCATTACTTTACTTTGTAAATATACTTACTCGTGATACCAGGGGCGTTTCTCTCTTGGGTAAACTAACTGCATAAATGCTCGAAGTTGGACTTTTGTTATCGTTAAGAATCCCGTCACCCTTCCCGATGTTTCTTATCTAAACTTTTGCGAAACGCACTTTAGTTAGGCATCTTTTCCCCTGAAAAAATAATTAATCAATTCTTTTGTAAGTGCGTTATCAATGGAATTTCTAGTCCCTTATATTGTCTATCAAATCCCAAATGACCTGAAACTTATTACACTCAAGGCAAATTATTACTTCAAGAACTTTTTACAAGATAAAACGATAAACGAGCGATGTTACGCTGAAGAGAAAGAAGGAACGGAGATGTACAGGGTGAAAAAGATAGCATTAAGTCTATGGAAACAGCATGCATAAAGTACAGCTTTAGAAGGGTTGCTCATGGCTTTTATCTTCTCTTCCATTCATAGGAAAATAAAGGAAAATGTAAAGTGATTTTCAATCTACTTTGGAAGCGCTACTTAACGCTTCTTTTCCCAATTTTCAAAAGTTAAACAAGTTTAGGGTGCGAGGGGGTCATTCTTAAGATTGTAACTGAGGCGAACGCAGGCGATATAGGCATCGTAGCGGAAAAAGAACCGAGCAGGGCACTTATTATGTTAGTCCGAATTGAGACGAGTGTACACTGAATTTTTTGTTCTGTGTGTGTGTGTGTGTGTGTGTGTGTGTGTGCGCGCCAAGTTGGCAGCTATCTGTGCAGCTTATCCAGATGAGAGATCAAAGGGCTTTTGTCATGATGATTTTGACCTAATTACAGAAGTGTATAATAAAGAAATGTTTTCCGCAGATAGCTCAACATCAGTTAGATTTGTAACTTTTATTACACTTGTAAATAAAAACGAATAACAATTTGTCCATGTTCGACGTATTTGCAGAGTTCCTGTATACGATAGGAATTCTGATCCCCTCAGCCTTTTCTAGATTCCAAGTGACCTTTATAGGCCGTCAACTTGTTCTTCGATACGCCTCTTAATCCATGTTTTTTTTTTTGCATGCGATTAGTGATAAGCCATCATTCCGACGAGGTGTAACACGGCTTGAAAGTAAGGAAAATGGGGTGAACGTGGAAAGACATGGGTTACCTAGGATATATGAGGGTTAACGTGGTAGACCATCGCGTTTACCCCCATTTACCCTATATTAATAGGGTAAATGGGGATAAACGTGGTAGAACATGGCTCACTTAGGATAGATGTTAATGCTATCGCAGCAGATTAGTACCGCGGCCTTTAGTTTAAATTTTGTTACCAGTCTTCGCTCGGACAAGTGACACATGTTTTCACTTTTCGAGACAAGGTTGTACCTTGGCCAACCTAAACGAATTTCGGGGCGTGAAATTTGCTTTCAGGATCTTATTGTCAACGGTTTTACTCGTCCTATATAAACGGAAAGACTAAACGGAAACGGAAGGCGATGTAACAAGGAACCTAAGGAGTGATTAAAGGTACAAACAATTCTACGAGGCCGAGCGCTTTTAATCTTCAGGACAGTATTTATTACCGACAGTTACAATAGATGAGGGCTAACGTGGAAGAAAATTACTAAATTAGGGTAGATGAAGGTTATAATTTGAATATATCAACAAAGTTGAAATGGTAAGTTGGCCACCGTTACGGTTATAAAAGCTGACGTTTCGAGCGTTAGCCCTTCGTCGGAGCGAATGGAGGAATTGTGGGTTGTGTGTGCTTTTAAAGGCAGAAAATGGAGCTACGTGATTGGTGGGAACATGGCAACGAGAAAAACACGAATAAATTAGTGGAATGAAAAGCGTTCGTTGATACCTGTGGGATTTAGACTGCCGGTTTGAAAGATGAGCTTTTGTTCAAGAGTTTTACGGCTTTCCGTGCTACCTAAGTGTAAGGAAAGACCGCAGATTGCCATATGTTGCTTAGAATGATTAGGTAAATTAAAATGTCTAGCGACTGGTTTCGATGTGTCCTTGTCATTCCTCTCCACGTCGCGAAGGTGTTCTCGGAATCGGTCACCTAGTCTTCTGCCTGTTTCGCCGATGTAAATCTTTTTGCAATAAGTGCAAGTTATGCAATAGATTACATTGGCGGAGGTGCACGTGAAGTGATCGGTGATCTTAATGGATCGTTTGGGTCCCGATATTTTCTCAGTGTTGTGAATGAAAGGACACGTTTTGCATCGTGCACGAGCGCATTTAAAAGTGCCTGGTTGGTCATTAGTCTGAAAAGAACTTCTGACCAAAAAATTGCCTATGTTTTTGTCGCGTTTGAATGAAATGAGCGGAGGCTGCGAAAAGATAGTGCTTGTCTCTGGATCGTTTTGAAGTAATTTAAAGTTTTTAAGAATGATGGATTTAACTGAGTGGTTGTGAGGGTGAAACGTGAGAGTGAATGGAATGCGGTCGGAATCTTCCTTATGCGACGTTTGTAGTGCTGAATGTCGATCAATAAGTTGNTCTCTGTTGTTTAGCTCTGAAATTATACTAAAACAATTATTCGCAGAGGGCGAGGTGAATATTGTCGAATAATCGACGATATTCACCTCGCCTTCGGCGAATAATTGTTGAGTATTTATGTGTATTAGTTATTGGGACATGATATGGACCTAACATTAACGCTTTACCCAGAAGAGAACGGACCACTGAGTCGTTTATTGCGCAAGCGCATTCCTGACCTCTGGGAACAAGTCTCGTTTCCAGGGCTTTATTATCTTTTTGAATGGGTATTGCGCGTGCGCATTCTTGACTCAAGAATTCGTTTGTGGAAAGCGTGACTTCGACGCGGAAAGAACGACCGTTGGAAGACTTTAGAAAATGGCAAACCCAAAGGACAACGATGAACGACTGAAAAAGCTTTTTGTCGGTGGCTTAAAGAGAGATACCGAAGATGACACTTTAAAGTCATACTTTGAACAGTATGGTGCTATGACAGATTGTGTTGTGATCCGAAGCCAGACCAAAGAGTCAAGAGGATTTGGTTATGTTACCTTTGAAGACGAAGAGAGTGTCCTTAAAGTGTTAGGAGACAAGAAAGAAAAAGGCCCACACTTTATCGACGGAAAAGAAGTTGAAGTGAAACGAGCCATTCCTAGAGATGATCAAAGCTCGACAGCTCATCTAAAAACAAAGAAAATTTTCATCGGTGGCTTACCAGACGAGGCCGACGCCGAGAGTATAAAGCAGTCTTTGGCTGATCGAGTTCGCGGCATTGCACCTACCAACGTGGAATTAATCATGAAAAAAGAGGACGAGACCAAACATCGTGGTTTCTGTTTTGTTGAATTTGAGGACGAAGACATTGTCGATGAACTATGCTGCATCAAACAGGTCGGTATCAATGGAAAAAACGTGGAAATCAAGAAAGCTGAGCCCAAGGACAAATCAGGTTCTCAGGGACAGAGAGGACGCGGTGGTCGCGGAGGTGGTCGTGGAGGTTATGGTAGCCGTGGTCGCGGCGGAGGCATGGGAGGCAGCTATCAAGCAGCCGGTGGGTATGGTGGATACTCAGGAGGTGGCTATGACGGCTATGGAGACGGCAGCGGTTATAGTGATCCTAGTTATGGTAGCTATGCCGGTTATGGAGGTGATTATTACGGTAACATGGGTGGCTATCAACAAGCACCTTCTAATTATGGCCCTCAGGCTGGTTACAGAAATCCTAGATACAAGCCATACTAAAAGTAAAGCAGGTGAGACATTTCAATGTTGCTTGTATTGATCATATTTTTCCTAATTTTCATTCAAGATGTTTCTTCCTAATCAGCTTGTCAGGTTTAATGAACAACCCTCAAAATTCATTTATTGTCAACTAGCATGAATTCTGGATGTTTTTCTCGAAAATTACTGATTATTACTGTTATGATAGTACCTGTTCGTGATGTTAGATTTTGTCACACCCTACTGTTATCCACACAAGCCATTCACTTATTATCATGGTACTGGAGGTGAAGTTTTCCTCCTCAATGTTTGTGGCATTTCAATAACTTGAAGCTTTTCCTCTAGCAAAAGCTGAATTTTATTGAAATCAGGTTCAAAGTAGTTGGTAAGTTCAACAGAGGATGAGGTCATCATCATACTACCTGTTTTTGTCCTAAGAAGACTAAGTTTGATCTGTTTTGATACTTAGGTTTGTCTTAAGTCAACATAGCCAGGCATAAATTACACTAAGGCACCCAGGACCTAGGCTACCCAAGAATCAGAGTGTTGCAGTTACAGTTGATCAAGCATATAGATGCAGTTTAAGCTACTTCAGAATTGCAGGCATCTTTCATTTGTAATCCACACAGTAGACTATGTTGCATGATTTTAACAAGAAATACTTTTATTACTATTCTTTCTTGATGATATCAACATCACACTATTTTTAAGAGGTAGACCTTTCTATATCCTAGGTCTTTTTAAAGCACAAGTGTAAGTTTAAGCTTCAAATTACTTGAACATCCTTCAATCTAATATTTGTCTGTATGATGGATAAGATGAAACTTATCAGCACTCTTGCTTTGAAAATGGGCAAGAACAATTATTTTAATTGTTTTCCTTTGTTGGGAAGTGTAATCTAGGATTTAGAGTTGTTTTCTGACTTGTATTATGATGTGTACACAAGCATGGCCATTATTAAAGCTTTGTTGGTTAAGAATAAAGGATTTGTTCATATTTTTAGAGTTGCTTATTCTTGTACCAAACTAAGAAGTCTGAGGTATCTTTGAAGATGTGATTAATAAGTAAACCTCAGAGGATTGTGGGATTGTTGGTAGATTTTTGTATAAGTAATACCCTGTAATTATCTTATGTACTGTAGAACCATGTGAAATAGCTTTTTTCAACTGGAAAATAACTGCCTACTTAGTCAACTGTCTTACATTCAGATTATTTTCTCACACGAGATTGGCTTGACATGACATTATTTTCATCATTTCTACTCTTTTCACATGGGCTCTCAATCCAAAGATATATGAATGTTCTTATTTACTGTAAATCAAAGGATTGATGTGGAGAACTCTTTAGGCCCATCTACTGGGTAGTGCTAAGATGACTTTTTTTTTTGCAAAAAAAAAGTAGTGAGATGAGATGGTTTGATTTTGAAGAACTCCTACAAGGCAGTAAGTTCCCATTTTAGCTGTTAACTTGATCTCTATGTATTCTCTCATAACCATGAAATTTTATTCTTTGCCATCAAAAATTATTTATATGAAATCAACATTTAAGGCATTTTGAGATTTCAAATGGATACCTGAGCATTAGAAAATTGTCTTCAAATGTGCTGTGGATGTGTTCAACTTGAAGAGTACTCAACCACCTGGTTGTACTTGCAAAACACAAGGGTATGTCTCACAAATAGCTGCTGCGTTGGTTAGTGAAAAAAGGAATTATTTGTCTGAATCAAGAATGCCTTTTCTTGGAGCTTCAAATTGTTCAAACGGATATTCAAGAGATGGACAAAATGGGAGTGAGGTTATGTTGCCTCACAGGTAAGCAGCCAGGTTTCCAAGGGTCAGAAGTAAAGGAGGGGTCCTGATCCTATGTCATGCACATATTTTTATAAATTTTACAACTTTTTTTCATGCACAAAATTCATACATTACTTACAATCAAGATTTCAGACATTGCAAATTTAAATAAGGATGCATGAAATCTCTCCACTTGTGTGCTCAGTTTCAGGGAATTTGTGAGGTTTTCACAATGGAAAAATTAACGGCTCATGTATGATCCCACCTTACACTGATTCATATTTTCATGAGTCATGATTTTCTATAAAATTCATGCCTATCATATCAATTTAGGGCTTAATCATGTGTCATACATAAACCCTATGCCACTTTTCTAAGCAAAATAGCGGCATTGGCTGTTGAATTGTTACCACATTTGATGACATTTTTCTAACAATTTTGTAACCCTTTGAAATTTTAAAATGCAGTCAATATCATTAACAGTTTATGTATTTGCTTGGATTTGCAACAACATACCTGCCATGTTAGAAGATTGACAGTCAGGTCCATTCCCAGCCATAGCTCAGCTAGTAGGTGATCACCTAATGGTTCTGCAGATGCCAGTTTGTGGTTTATGGTGAAACACACAAAATAAAAACCTGATTCAGGTTGTTCCTAAGATAATAGCACTTCTGTAGATTTGAGAGTTGTGGATTGTTATAAAGATGATTAACAGTTTATATTATAAGGGCATGTCTAATTTATTTAAATGTATCTTTCCTTTAAACCTATTTGTTGAAAATAGACAACTGTGAAGAAATTGCCATGAAGGCAGATGGAAGTGCATAATTTGTTTCTATTTTTGTAACCATGCTTTGGAATAAATTTAACTTGATCAATTATGCCTTGAATTGCTGATAAACTTTCTAAGCAGGTTACTATTCTACATCATATTTGAGAATGAAACAGCCAAACCCAATGAGTTGTATTGAAAGGAAGGATGTATAAATTAGACAATAAAAAATTGGCCCAGTTTTATAATCTGAACAGATTGGTTTGTGTTTTTGAAAACTTCCAATTTTCAAAGTATGGTAAATTGTTGTGTCCAGAATACTGGAAATGTAACTTTCCTTTGATAAAAAAAAAAAAAAAGCTGGTGTATTAGAAGAACATGTTATGAGCCATATGCTATTTCTGGTTTGGCAAACTTCCTTTACTCTAGGAAAAAAAAAAACCAAACATCTTTTCAATCTTAACCAGTGGTAGTGAAAGTATCAGTGGCCTTTTTAAAACAGATCCATTGGTCATAAAATAACTCCGAGTTGATATTCGTTATTCTTTGGAAGCTCTGTTGCAACTAATGGTGAATAAAGATCTTTTTTATTCACAGGGGAGTAAAAGAAATAAATAGTACCATTTTTAACTACCTGCAAAGATAAAGTAATCTTTTTGGGTTCTACTACAACAGGCAAACTCTCATTTGGTAGAGTGCCTGGTGGGAAACTGAAGGTAGTGGCCTTTTATCCTGAAGGAACACCAACCAAGGAATAGAGATCACAGGAAAGAGAAGACTGGGTTTGTATTTAACAAAATTTCATGATTTCTGTACCTCTCTAAGATGGAGACGAACTTATGTCACTTAACAAGTAATGGCACAAACATGGTTCATCAAAATCCTTCAACACATTCCTGGTTAAGTTTTCTTAATTAATTATGCATTATTGACTAAGAATGAGGTCAAAATGGCTAGATATTGGTGGAGTTCTTGTTTTGGAAAGAGACGAAGTTGGTTTAAAAAAAGAAGTGATGCTAATAGCCAGCCATCTTGACCAAACAAGCTTGGTAAATAAAGGATTTATTATATAGCGAAAAGGTTTTGCTTTATTGAGAATCAATAATGCCTTGTTTATTTTGAGAGCTGAGAGAGAAAAATAAATAAACTGCCTCCTGGTTAGCTCAATGGATAGAGCGTTGGACTATTGTGCGGGAGGTCGAGGGTTCGAGCCCCGGCCGGACCAACACTCAAGGTCTTAAAATAATTGAGAAGAATATGCTTCCTTTCTATAACATCAAGAAATGGTTAGATATTCTAGTCTTCTCGGATGGGGACGAATAAATGGAGGTCCCGTCTCCTACAGGTTTAGGGGTAGGAGACGTTAATTTCCCACGCACGAGATTACTGTGTGATGGATGTCCTCCCCTGGGGTGGGATGGGGAGGTTAGGATTGATTGTAAAGCGTTGTTGATCTGTCATTGTAAATAGCGCTCTATAAGTGATAAATTGTAATTGTAATAAACCCATAAGGGTCATTTATGCCTCTTTGTTTTGACTGTCTCCTGCCACTTTTTGCAACTCCATTGCAAGGGGATGGGGTGCAGCAAAGATTACAATTAATCATTCCAACCCTAAGGGAAAATAAACATCAAACTAATTTGAACAATTATAAGGCAAGGAAAAAGTTGAGCCTCAATGGAACCAATGATAGCACATTAAATTTGACTATGGTCCCTGGTGACTCTTTGCAAAACATGGTTGGGCTTTAAACAGGTAAAATAATTTGATTAAAGAATTTTTTGTTTCCTTGTTAAGCAGTTTCTTTATAGTAAATTGCTTTTGATAGACAGCAGAGATCTGAATCCATTTATTATTTGCAGATGGAAACATTTCATTTTAATACTTATGCAAGGAATTCTAGTGGATACAGGTATTCATTTTTGTAATCAGTAATGAGGAGGGGGTTGTTGAAACTTGGCCAGGGTTTGCAACCTAAAGGAACATTTTAAAGCCAATTTGTGTGATTTATCCCAATTTTATTGTATGCTAAGGGGGGTTGTTGCCATTTAAGTAGTGTTTTCAGACCACTGTTCTAAGTAGAGATATTATGGCATGGTAGTGAAAGGATAGATTATTCTGATGCTTGTTTGCATGAATGCTTAATAGAATTAACTCCTCCTAAGTTTATGTTTCTCATCCTTGCATATCATACCAGCAGTCCTTAGCAGTGAACTTTCCCCCAATACTGTCTCTGGTAACAAAAGGTTTCCATGGATTCTAATCAAAATAAACATGACAGTGACTTTAGGTGTCATTTCTGCAGAGGACACCTTTTCTGTGCCTACTGTGCCTTCCTGGTTCAGTTCCAACACTGGTCATTGTCAAAGTAATCTGCTTCAGTTTCTTCTGATTCGTTTTTGGTTTTATTTTGGTCTAGTTAAATTTTTTTAGGGGCTCACCTCTGCATTTTGACATTGTCATTGATTAGAACATAAGAGGTAGGTTGTCAAACATCAAACATTTACTCTAAACATATCTAACATATCCTTTGAAGAAGAATTTAAATTCAAATGAAAACAAAGAGGAAAACAAAAGAAAAAAAAAACCTAAATTTGATGGACATTTAATACATGTACCTATTCTATTATTTTTCTGACTTTTCTCGGCCTGTCAATTGACAAGTGCACACAAGTTTGGAATTTTACAAGAGCTGTTCATTAACCACTCTGCATTTTACACCACATTGCTCTTTACTGCAATACTATACAGCTAAACAACAGTAGACACATGCAGTCAAAGATTGCCTTTTATTTTAACTTTTAACATTTGCCCATATGGTACAGAGGTTTTTACATTGTTTACTTTAAAAAAAGAATGAATTACAAGCCAGCTTTATGAAAACAAGGAATACTACTCATTAGGCCAGAAGTGAAACAAAATTTCAAACATGCTTTTGTGCTTTTGCGATTGACATTTTCCACTATTGTCTTTGTATGGGAGATTTAATATTACATGGTATATGATATCAAAGCATAAGACTTTTCCTCAGACCAATCTCACTTACCTCTGGTGGAACTTACACGTTCTGAAAATTTTTACAACCTACTCCAGTTCCAATAACTGAATCTGCTGATAGTGTGCTATCTTCCCTTTGCTACACAGGAATCTTTGGCACAGCCTGGGCTTATGTAGCCTGGAAGTTTTGTCTGCAGCAAAGTTTGGGCATAACATTTGCTGTAGAAATTTGCCACAGTTTTTATTCTGTTTTCTAAAGGACACCATAACTATGCATAACTTAAGTTTATTACTGGCTCGTACACTGCTTATATAATGGTGACTGAGAAGTGTCCAATAAATTGGAATTTTTTTTTTAGGTAAATATTTTGCTCTTTTTCCCTCCTACTGATACACTTCTCCCTCTTTTCCTTTTTTTTCATTTTGCTAGGTATGCAAAAAGA